AGCTGCTCGCAGCTGCTGATACAGGAGGAATGTCAAGGACGCTTCAGCCCTGTGTACCGTGGTGTGTCAAAAACAGGTTAAGGGGAATTAGGAATAGTGGTCTGAGAAACCCAGTGTTATGGTAACGGTGGTCTGAGAAACATTGTGTTACGGTACTGTCGTGTATTGAAAACAAGTCAACAGGAATCAGAAATAGTAGCATGAGAAACTTAGTGTTATGAGAAGCTTGGGCTGTAAGCTAACTGCAAGTAGGTGGACCGTGCGAATACGACCTTTAGAGCTTAAGCCAATCAGCTAGTGACTAGTAGGCATAATAATTATCATTGTCTGTATAAATATATGTACCCTGGACCAATAAAAACACACGTTGATTGATGCTCTATCACCCACACTGAACCCGTCTCGGCGTGTCGTTCGTCCGCGGCTCCGCAATGACTATTCAACATTATATCATAGAATTGAAGAAAAACATGCAGGAGCTGAGGGCTAAAGGATTATTAGCCCAGAGCACCCCTTTGGATTTTGCAATACACAAAATTCAGCTGGGAGATAAAGTGTTGGTAAAAAGCTGGAAAGAAGACAGCCTTAACCCCCGATGGGAAGGTCCATTTCTTGTTCCTTTAACCACAGAAACGGCGATAAGGACGGCTGAAAAGGGATGGACACATGCATCAAGGGTGAAGGGAACTATAAAGGAATGGAGGGTTGTAACTGAACCTGGAAATACCAAACCTACCCTTAAAAGGACTTGGTGTGACGGCTGAGGGAGGTTCATATTGACTCCTGTAACAAGGTAAATTCTAATTGAACGGCGTACAGGGAGCAGACATTATCTTTTGACTAAAGGAACCCGCTTTTCCCCACTTTTTCCAAGCCCTTGTTCGTGTTGAAAGTCCTGTATGGAGTAAAATAATTCCTATGACCCACAAAGAGAAGGAAGGCACACCCTGGTGAAAGCCAGAGAGGGCAAGCCCGGAGGGAATCGGTGCTGCAGCTGACAAGGTCTGCCGAGGGCTGCAACCCCTGGGGCGGTGACCGCTGGGCATTATGATCCTGACCGGACCTCTCTTGGTGCGGGTCCTGACTGGAACCCTGCGGGAAGGTGTGGACTCCTCTTCCCACCATTGCAGTGAGTGTGTTGCTGTAACAATGCAAGGTGATAGAGTCTCCCATACATTGATATACCATGGCCACTACGAATGTAAAGGGCAGATTGTGGGTGATTGCATATATAACCAAATATAAACTCCGCAAGGATCTTTCAGCCAACACGGTCATGTGCTATAATCCTGAAGTACTTCCAACTCTCTATTGGATAGAATTGAAAACAGAGGGATACATGAAGAAAGGGAAATATAAATATGATGGATGGAAAACTTTGGCAGTAAGTAATCCGGTTTATAGTCCTAATTCCCCGGTATCGGTCATTTTTGATGTCTGCCAAGCGGTAGATAGGGACTATTACTCTGCTGACTGTGGAGATATATCAGAGGAGACAATACAGGAAAACTGAAAAATACATGTGTATGAATCGTGGAAATTCTTATCTCACCTCCGGGGTCCACGGAGGCCACTTGTGTGGAAATACATGGGAGGGTGTGTGTTGGGCAACAACTAACTGGGGCTAGGAACATCATTGTCCCCACCTGAAGGCCAAATTGGAAAAGATAAAGGCAAGCTCAACTTGTGGACTTTATAACTGTACGCTGGTCAATTGGACAATTATAGATCCCTTGTCCTGGAGAGTAACAAAAAAGGTAACAGATTTCGGAATCAAGATTTGGGCCTCTGGTTACAATCCAGGAGCCATAATCCGAATAATTTATCATCAAGAAGTAAGGCAAACCATACAACATTGTTTGTTATTCAACTCGTTTTATCATGAAATGGAAACAGGAGTCCAGTATGAAACTCCCACAGTTGCTAAAAATCTGTTTGTGAACTGAAAATATAGCAAAAGCGCTAAAAGTAATGAATTGTTATGTGTGTGGAGGGACAAATCAGGGAGAACATTGGCCTTGGGAAGCCTTAGAGAGTAATAAAACTGACCCTAGGATCTAGAAGATAAATAGTCAGGATAGAAGACAAACGTGGATTTTACAAACTAATATAATAGGGAGAAGCCGTTTTTAACACCTAGCCAAGAAAGGGGAGCCAGTGGGAAATTTAATTTGTGAAGGAGGCTATATATGGAATAAAACGAGGAAGGATTGGGATAAATGGAGGGACCCAATGGAAATAAATCCACAAGTGGCCAACTGGACAAATGGGAACGATATACCTAGTGGTTGGCCTGCACCGGAGGGACACTATTGGATTTGTGGAAAATTAGCCTTCGCAGCTTTACCGAAGAATTGGGTTGGGTCATGTATAGTAGGTACAATTAGATGTAGCTGCTTCTTGTTGCCAATAGGTAGGGGAGAACGATTGGGGGTTCCTGTGTGTACAGAATCTGATAAGTTGAGGAGATACAAGAGAGATTTACAAATTGGGAATTGGAAAGAGAATGAATGGCCTCCAGAGAGAATAATAGCCTATTATGATCCTGCAACATGGGCGGAGGATGGATCTTGGGGCTACTGAACTCCGATATATATGTTAAACAGGATTATACGGCTACAAGCAGTAGTTGAAACAGTAGTGAACAAACCAGAGATGCCTTAAGCCTACTTGCAAAACAAAATGCAAAAATGGGAACTGCAATATACCAAAATCGTTCAGCGTTGGACTACCTGTTGGCACAAGAAGGGGGAGTTTGTGGGAAATTTAACCTCACCAATTGTTGTATACAAATAGATGACGAAGGAAGGGCTGTAGATGAACTGGTTAGAGAAATGAAGAAAGTAGCCCATGTCCCAGTGCAAACGCGGAATGGGTTTAACACTGGAAATTTAGGATCATGGATGTCATTCTTTAATGGTGATTGGATTACTAACGTGGGTATTTTACTCCTGGGGATATTTTGAGGGTTGTTAACTATCCCTTGTATAATTCCATGTTTTACTTGGTTAATACGATCGGTGGTGCAAAGTATGCAATCGGAAATAAAGAATAATAAGACACCATTAATGGTATTAGGGACTGAAACAACCCCAACTTTAACGGCAGCACGGAAAGCTGTTATCGAATTAGAAACCAAGACATGAATCAATGAGATAAACAAAGTGGGGAATTGTGGAAAACACAGGCACGACTCATGTCTAAATAGAATATGGTGTGATAAGTGTAATTGTTGTACCCTGTGTGGATCTGAAATGATGTGTGATCATTACAACCGGCATAGTAATTGTGATGAATGTCGGAATCAAATCGAGACTCTGCAAGAATAATTTTATTAGATGAGTGTGCTTCTTGCTCGGAACAATGCAACCGCTTCTTAGAAACCCCGCCTTGAGCTGCAGCAACCTCTGCTGGGGAAATACCGCCGAAAAGACAAAACCCCGCCACTTTCAAAAGATGCAACAGGAGAACAGCGAGGCAAGAGGCAGAGACCTCCGGACTTTCAAAGGACTCAACAGGGGACGGCCACGTACCCCAGCAACTCGAATGATCCAGTGGAGGAAGAGCAGGACAACGGGGTTTGGCCAAGACGCCGGTGCAAGGGCATAAAGGACCCTGCTGTTAGAACTCGGGGTGCGTGTCGCGGAGCTGAGACTCCCCGCGCTGCTTTGCTTATTGCTTCTCACCCTGAATTGATTGAACCCAAATAAAATTGTACGCCTATTCTGAAATTGGACTTCAGTCAATTAAATCAGGGGTCCTGGGGGGGGATTTAGGGACAGAGGTGAGACTTTTTGGGGGGTCCTGGGGGGATTTGGGGACTGGGCTGAGGCATTTTAAGGGGTGCTTCGGGGGGATTTGGGGGCAGAAATGGTGCTTTTGGGGGTCCTGGAGGGGTGTTTGGGGACGGTGATGGGGATTTGGGGGGTCCTGGGGGGATCTGAGGACAGGGATGGGGATTTGGGGAGTCCTGGGGGGATTTGGGGACAGAAATGGGACATTTTGGGGGTCCTGAGGGGATTTGGGGACATTTTGGGGTTGCTGGGGGGGATTTAGGGACAAATATGGGACTTTTGGGGGGTCCTGATGGGTGTCTACGGGTCCTGGGGGGATTTGAGGACAGAAATAGGACATTTTGGGTGGTCCTGGAGGGGGATATGGGGACATATTGGGGGTCCTGAGGGAATTTGGAGACAGATGGGACATTTGGGGGGGCCTGGGGGGATTTGAGGACATTTGGGGGGGGGGATTTAGGGACAGAGATTAGACTTTTGGGGGGTTCTAGGGGGTGTTTGTGGATCCTGGGGGGATTTGGGGACAGAAACGGGACATTTTGGGAGGTCTTGGGGGGGGGGATTTGGGGACACTATGAGGGTCCTGGGGGATTTAGGGACAAATACGGGACTTTGGGGGTGTCCTGGGGGGTTCTAGAGACAATGATGAGACATTTTGGAGGGTTCTGGAGGGGGATTTGGGGACATTCTTGCGGGATTTAGCAACAAATATGGGACTTTTGGGGGGTCCTGGAGGGATTTGAGGACAGGAATGGGACATCTGGGGGGGTCCCGAGGGGCATTTGGGGGGTCTTGGGGGATATCTGGGGACATTCTAGGGGTCTAGAGGGATTATTTGGGGGTTTCGGGTACCGTTTTGGACGATTTGGGGGGGGGGTGGAGTGGGGTGTTTGGTACCATTTTGGACTATTTTGGGGGTCCAGGGAGGATTTGGGGGTCCTGGGGGATATTTTAGCACAAGAACAGGGTATTGGGGGGAGGGGGGGGACACACGAGATTGTTAATGTCAAGTTTGGGGTCCTAGGGGCGTTTTGGGGCGGTTTCGGAGTGTTTTGAGGGAGTTCCGGGGTCCTTCGGCCGCCGGCGACCCTCAGTCCTCCCACCTTATCTCTATGGCCGCCGCAGTCCTCCCCCTCACCGGCCCCTCCCTCCGCCTCGGCCGCTCTACCCCTTGCGTCTCCACTGCTCCTCCCATTGGATTCCTCTGGGCGCGTTGCGTCACGTCCGGCGGCGCGCTGCGCTTCCGTCGCGTCTCGTTGGTTCCGACGGGAGGGTCACTTTGAGCGGAGTCGGTGGCGCCCGGTGAGGCGGGGGGGGAACTGGGGGCACTGGGACAGCTCTGGGGGCGTTACTGGGAACCTCCCGCTCCCCCCTCATTACTGGGGCGGTTAATTAACCCCATTAATTACCCCCCCACACACACCCCCATATCACCTTCCTCCTTTTCAGTCCCGGGGGGCGGAGCTTAATTAGTCCCGGGGGCTTAATTAGTCTCAGGGGGTTATTAATTAGCCCCGAGGGGGGTGTTAATTAGTCTGGGGAGATTAATTAACCTCGTTAATTACCCCGCGCCAGCATGACTGCCTCCCCACCCCTCCCCCATTACCATCCCCTTCGCATTCCCTGGGGCGGTTAGTTAATCCCAGGGGGGTTTAATTATTCTGTGGGGTATTCTTAATTAGTCCCAGGGGGTGTTAATTAGTCTGAGGGGGGCTAATTACCCCTGTTAATAACCCCTTGCTGGGGTTCCCCCCTCCACGACACTCTCGCCCCCCGTTACCGTCCCGTTTTCATGACAGGAAGGGAAGCTGGGAGTGATTAATTATTTCTTGTACTTATTAATTGTTTTTTGGGGGTGTTAATTAGTCCTGAGGGGTGTTAATTGGTCGGGAGGGTTTATTAACCTTGCTAATTACCCATGCAGGGGCCTCCCCCACTCTCCTTCCCCCTGTTACCATCTCTCTTTTCACAATGGGAAGGGGATCTGGGGGTGATTAATTAATTCTGGGACTTATTAATTAATGCTAGGGGATGTTAATTAATCCCAGGGGATGTTAATTATTCCAGGGGGGTTACTTACCCCTGCTAATTACCCTCTGCCAGGGTTTCCCCCCTCCCCAATGCTCTCCTGCCCCCTGTTACCTTCCCTCTTCATTATGAAAATGGGAACTGGGGGTGATCAATTATTTCTGTGATTTATTAATTAATCCCAAGAGGTGTTAGTCCAGGGGGAGTTAATTACCCCTGATAATTAACCCCTGCCAGTGTTCCCCCCTCCCCAACACTCTCTCCCCCCATTACCACCCTCTTTTTCATGATGTGAAGGGGAGCTGGGGGGGGATTAATTATGCCTGGGGTGTGTTAATTAGTCCTAGGGGGTGTTAATTAGTCCAGGGGGGTTATTACCCCCTGCTGGGGTTCTCCCCCTCCCCAACACTCTCTTGCCCCCCATTACTTTCACCCTTTTCCTTATGAGAATGGGAGCTGGGAATGATTAATTATTTCTGGGGCTTATTAATTAGTGCCAGGGGTTGTTAATTAATCCCAGGAGGTGTTAATTAGTCCAGGGGGAGTTAATTACCCCTTCTAATTACCCCCTATTGGGGTTCCCCTCTCCCCAACACACTCTCCCCCTCTTACCTTCCCTCTTTTCATTATGAAAAAGGGAGCTGGGGGTGATTGATTAATTCTGGGACTAATTAATTAATCCCAGGGGTGTTAATTAATCCCAGGAGGTGTTAATTACTCCAGGGGGGAGTTATTTACCCCTGCTAATTACCCTCTGCCAGCATTCCTCCCTCCCCAACACACTCTCCCCCTGTTACCTTCCCTCTTTTCATTATGAGAAAGGTAGCTGGGGGTGATTGATTATTTCTGGGGCTAATTAATTAAGCCTAAGGGGTGTTAATTAATTCCAGGGGATGTTAATTAGTCCTGAGGGGGTTTATTACCCCTGCTAATTACCCCCCTACAGGGCTTCCCCTTTCCCCAGCACACTCTTCCCCCATTACCCCCCCTCCCTTTTCGCAACGGGAAGGGGACCTGGGGGGGCTGTGTGTGTGTGTGTGTGTAATTAATTATCCCTGCTTAATTAACCCCCTTTTAATTACCCGGCCTCCCCAGCCATGGCAGAGGACATCAAGGCCAAGCTGGAGCGCTACAAGACGGCGCCGTTCGACAGCCGCTTCCCCAACCAGAACCAGACCAGGAACTGTTGGCAAAACTACCTGGGTACGGTCCCTTTTCCTCCCTTTTTTTTTGTCCCTTTTTCTCCCATTTTTTTTTTTTTTTTTTTTTTTTTTTTCTTCGGCCCTTTTTGTCCCTCAGGGTCCCCCCCCAACATGTCCCCCCAGATTTCCACCGCTGCGAGAAGGCGATGGCGGCCAAAGGGGCGGATGTCGCTCCCTGCCAGTGGTACCAGCGCGTCTACAAGTCGCTCTGTCCCACCGCCTGGGTGAGTGGCACCCCATGGGGTCCCCAAGATGTCCCCACGGGGTCCCCACACCCCACAGGGACCCCACGATGTCCCCACAGGGTCCCCGCACCCCTCAGTAGCCCCTCAGGGTCCCCCCAGGGTCCCCACAGCCCCCAGGATCCCCCTCGAAGTTCCCAGGCTGTCCCCTCAGTGTCCCCATGGGGTCCCTGCACCCCTCAGTAGCCCCCCCACGGTGTCCCCACACCCCTCAGTGTCCCCGTGAGGTCCCCCCGTCCCCTCCACAGTGTCTCCACGGACCCCAGGATCCCCTCAAAGTCCCCACAGTGTCCCCACAGCCCTCAGTGTCAGCTCTTAGTCCCCTCAGTGTCCCCGTGGTGTCCCCATGTCCCCCCACGGCCCTCAGGGTCCCTCCCGGGGTCCCCACGGCCCTCAGGGTCCCCTCAAAGTCCCCAGAGTGTCCCCACACCCCTCAGTAGCCCCATGGTGTCCCCAAGGCGTCCCCACACCCCTCAGGGTCCCCACGGTGTCCCCACGCCCCTTGGGGTCCCCTCAGTGTCCCCATGGGGTCCCCCTGTCCCCCCCACAGTGTCCCCACAGCCCTTGGGGTCCCCACGGTCCCCAGGATCCCCTCAAAGTCCCCATGGTGTCCCCACAGTGTCTCCACAGCCCTCAGTGTCAGCTCTTAGTCCCCTCAGTGTCCCCGTGGTGTCCCCGTGTCCCCCCACAGTGTCCCCAGGCCCCTCAGTAGCCCCACAGGGTCCCCACAGTGTCCCCACAGTGTCCCCACACCCCTTGGGGTCCCCTCAGTGTCCCCGTGGGGTCCCCGTGTCCCCCCACAGTGTCCCCACTGCCCCCAGGATCCCCTCAAAGTCCCCACGGCCCTGGGGGTCCCCTCAGTGTCCCCACGGGGTCCCCCAGAGTGTCCCCATGACCCTTGGTGTCTCCAGCGTGTCCCCACAGCCCCCACGGTCCCCTTGAAGTCCCTTTGGTGTCCCCACAGTGTCGCCACGCCCCTTGGGGTCCTCATGGTGTCCCCCCGGATGTCCCCAAACCCCTCGGGGTCCACTCAGAGTCCCCACAGTGTCCCCTCAGTGTCCCCACACCACTTGGGGTCCCCCATGACGTCCCCCAGGGTCCTCCACGGTGTCCCCACCATGTCCCCAGGGTGTCCTCAGGGTCCCCACTGTGTCCCCACAGTGTCCCCATTGTCCTTGGGTCCCTCTTGGGTCCCCCACGATGTCCCCACGGTGTCCCCATTGTCCTTGGGTCCCCCAGCATGTCCCCATGGCCCTGAGGATCCCCACAGTGTCCCCATGGTGTACCCACAGTGTCCCCATGGACTTTGGTGTCCCTACCATGTCCACACAGTGTCCCCATGGTGTCCCCATGGTCCTCAGGCTCCCCACCATGTCCCCACAATGTCCCCATGGCCCTGAGGGTCCCCACAGTGTCCCCCCCCATGTCCTCAGGGTGTCCTCAGGTCCTCCTCAGGGTCCCCATCGTGTCCCCACAGTGTCCCCATTGTCCTTGGGTCCCTATTGTGTCCCCCCCGGTGTCCCCATGGCCCTGAGGATCCCCACAGTGTCCCCAGGGTGTCCCCATGGTCCTCAGGTCCTCCTCAGGGTCCCTGCCATGTCCCCATCATGTCCCCACCACGTCCCCATTCTCCTTGGGTCCCCCACGATGTCCCCATGGCCCTGAGGATCCTCAGGGTGTCCCCACCATGTCCCCAGGATGTGCCCGTGGTCCTCGGTGTCCCCCCCATGTCCCCAGGGTGTCCTCAGGTCCTCCTCAGAGTCCCCACCTTGTCCCCACAGTGTCCCCATTGTCTTTGGGTCCCCCATGGTGTCCCCATGGCCCCGAGGATCCCCATGCTGTCCCCACCATGTCCCCACAGTATCCCCACGGTGTCCCCTTAGCCCTCGGTGTCCCCAGGGTGTCCTCAGGTCCTCCTCAGGGTCCCCACAATGTCCCCATTGTCTTGGGGTCCCTATCAGGTCCCCCACAGTGTCCCCATGGCCCTGAGGGTCCCCAGTGTCCCTACCGTGTCCCCAAGGTGTCCCCATGGTCCTCAGGTCTTCTTCAGGGTCCCCATGGTGTCCCCATGGCCTCAGTGTCCCTACCATGTCCCCAGGGTGTCCCCACGATGTCCCCATGGCCCTGAGGGTCCCCACAGTGTCCCCACCATGTCCCCAGGGTGTCCCCATGGTCCTCAAGTCTTCTTCAGGGTCCCCACCTTGTCCCCACGGTGTCCCCATTGTCCTTGACTCCCTCTCGGGTCCCCCCACGGTGTCCCCACGGCCCTGAGGATCCCCACCGTGTCCTCACCGGTGTCCCCAGCGTGTCCCCATGACCCTCGGTGTCCCAATGGTGTCCCCACCATGTCCACAGGGTTTCACCCATGACTCTCAGTGTCCCCCCCATGTGCCCAGGGTGTCCTCAGGTCCTCATCAGGGTCTCCGCCATGTCCCCACCACGTCCCCATTGTCCTTGGGTCCCCCACGATGTCCCCATGGCCCTGAGGATCCCCAGGGTGTCCCCACCATGTCCCCAGGATGTGCCCGTGGTCCTCGGTGTCCCCCCCATGTCCCCAGGGTGTCCTCAGGTCTTCCTCAAGAGTCCCCACCTTGTCCCCACAGTGTCCCCATTGTCCTTGGGTCCCCCATGGTGTCCACATGGCCCCGAGGATCCCCATGCTGTCCCCACCATGTCCCCACGGTATCCCCACGGTGTCCCCATGGCCCTTGGTGTCCCCACCATGTCCCCAGGGTGTCCCCATGGCCCTGAGGGTCCCCAGTGTCCCCACCATGTCCCCAAGGTGTCCCCATGGTCCTCAGGTCTTCTTCAGGGTCCCCACAGTGTCCCCATGGTGTCCCCATGGCCTCAGTGTCCCTACCATGTCCCCAGGGTGTCCCCACGACGTCCCCATGGCCCTGAGGGTCCCCACAGTGTCCCCACCATGTCCCCAGGGTGTCCCCATGGTCCTCAGGTCTTCTTCAGGGTCCCCACCTTGTCCCCACGGTGTCCCCATTGTCCTTGACTCCCTCTCGGGTCCCCCCACGGTGTCCCCACGGCCCTGAGGATCCCCACCGTGTCCTCACCGGTGTCCCCATGACCCTCGGTGTCCCCACCATGTCCCCAGGGTGTCACCCATGACTCTCGGTGTCCGTCCCCCCCCCCATGTCCCCAGGGTGTCCCCAGGTCCTCCTCAGGGTCCCCACCGTGTCCCCATTGTCCTTGGGTCCCTCTTGGCTCCCCCATGGTGTCCCCACAGGGTGTGTGTGTGTGTGTGTGTGTCCCGTGACGTCACCCCTGCTGTCACCCTGCCCCCCCTCCTCCCCCCCCCAGGTGACAACGTGGGACGAGTACCGCGAGGAGGGGACCTTCCCCGGCAAGATCTGAGCTTCACCCACCCCCCCCTGGGGTGGGGAGGGGACATCCGTGTCCCCGTGGGGTGACAATGCCACCCCCCCCACCCTGGCGAGGTGGGGAGGGGACACGGGTGTCACCTTGGGGGGGGGTGGGGGGTAGGGCGGGGCACACAGCCAATAAAGGGTTGAACTGGTCCTGGGTGTGGTTTGTACTGGGAGGGGCGGGGCGGGATGTCCCCAAGGGTGTGGGGGTGTCCCCAAGGTGGGTGGGGACGTCCCCAAAGGGTGTGGGGGTGTCCCCCGCATTGATTTTGGGGACAAACCAGAGCTCCACCCCCCCTGAGCCCGGAACGAAAAAATGTTTATTCACGAAAAACTTGGGGGTGGGGACAAACTGGGGGGGGGGGGGGGGGGGGTAAGGGGGGACAATCCCCCCACCCCCCCCCCTCCCCCCTCCAACTCCGGGTGACCTCTGGGGAACTATGGGACCACGGGGACAACCCCGAGGGGTCGGAGGCCGAGGGGCCACCCCAGGAGCTGCCCCATGATGCCCCCGGGGGTCCCCAAAGCCGGGGCGAGACCTTGCAGCGGCAGTGCTCCCAGCAGCTCCCCTGAAGGGGGGGAAACGGGGTTAGGGGGCTTCTGCTGGGACCCCCACGCCCCCCATCTCCACCCCCTTTGATGGTGGCTCCATCCATATCTCCAGGGACGGGTGGGTGAGGAGGCCACCAGAGAAGTTCTTTGGTTTCTCCATCCATCCATTGACGCTTCTTGGATGGATGGAGAAAGCGTTGAAGAACTTCCTTGATGGTTTCTCCATCCATCCATCCATCCATCCATCCATCCATCCATCCATCCATCCATCCATCCATCCATCCATCCATCCATCCATCCATCCATCCATCCCCAGACCTTTCTCCATCCACATCTCCATGACCACATGGATGGAGAAACCCTTGAAGATCTCCTGGATTTGTCCACCTAATCATCCATCCTTCTGGGGATCCAACCACCCAACTGTCGACCTTCAACAGTGTCTCCATCCATCTAATCCACCCAACCCTCCACCTTCAGTGGTTTCTCCATCCATATCTCCAGGGACAGGTGGATGGGGAAGCCACCAGAGAAGTTCTTTGGTGTCTCCATCCATCCATTGACACGTCTTCAATGCATGGAGAAAATGTTGAAGAACTTCCTTGATGGTCCGTCCATCCATCCATCCATCCATCCATCCATCCATCCATCCATCCATCCATCCATCCATCCATCCATCCATCCATCCATCCATCCATCTCCAGACCTTTCTCCATCCACATCTCCGTGACCAGATGGATGGAGAAACCATTGAAGATCTGGATTTGTCCACCCAATTGTCCACCCTTCTTCTGTGGATCCAGCCATCCAACCGTCAACCTTCAGTGGTTTTTCCATCCACCCAACCATCCCTCTGGCCTTCAGTGGTTTCTCCATCTCCTCATCCTTCCACTCCTCCTCCATTCCTGGTTTCTCCACCCCCCACGGTGGCCCCTCACCTGGAGGTCCCTTCGTGTCCCCCCTCCGTGGTGGCCCCTCACCTGTGGGCAGGTCCCGGGGCCGCAGCGTCCGGTGGGAGCCGCACGTGTCACCGGGGCGGCAGCGAGAGTCCTCGGGGCACCACGGGGCTGTGGGTGACACGGGGCTTGGGTGGGGCCACGGCGACCGCGGGGGACAGCATGGAGGGGATGGGTAGGGAGGTCACGGGTGGACAGGGAGGTGGAGAACGTCACGGAGGGACATGCGAGGATGTCATGGGTGAAGAGAAATAGAGGGGACACCAGAGATGGACACGTGATGAGGTCACGGGTGGACAAGGAGGTGGAGAATGTCATGGAGGGACAGACAGAAGACATCAGGGACACGTGACGAGGTCACGGGTGGACAAGGAGGTGGAGAACGTCATGGAGGGACAGACAGAAGACATCAGGGACACATGATGAGGTCATGGGTGGGCAGGGAGGTGGAGAATGTCATGGAGGGACATGTGAGGATGTCATGGACACGTAGAGGTCACGAGAACGTCATGGGGGGACACACAAGGATGTCATGGGTGAAGAGAAATAGAGGGGACACCAGAGATGGACATGTGACGAGAGGTGGAGGCCACCACAGATGAACAGCTGGAGAGGGGACACCGCGGAGAGAGACGGAAAGATGTCATGGGTGGAAGACGGCACGGATGGCCACCCTAGGGGGTGTGGCCACCCAACGGGGACACTGTGGAGGGACAATGTCGTGGGTGGACAGAGCTGGAGAAGATTGCGTGGAGGTCAAGAGCGACGGGTAGGGCCACAGAGGCAGAGGGGACATCACGGGTGGCCACCGAGGAACCCGCCCACGCCCAGAAAACCCATGGCCCCGTGGCCCCCAACTCACGGCATCCGTCGGGGGGGCTCCAAGGTCCCACCCGAGCCCCGGCCTGGTGGCAGGTGGCCTCGTAGGCGCCCAGAACCTGGTGGAGGACCTCGTGGAGGACCTCGTCATCCCCACGGGCCTCACAGAGCTCCCGGAGGCAAATGTCAAAGAAGATCCCGGGTTGGACCACAGCGTGACACTCCCCAAAAGGTCCTTGAGGGTGGCGGAGGAGACCGCAGAGCTTGGCGTGGACGAAGGTCCTCTTGGGGGGCTGGTGGCAGGGGGGACACGCAGGCCCGGGGCAGGGCCGGTGACACGTGAGCCCGGCAGTGGCCCGGTGGAGGTGGTCATTGGCCGGGTGACCGTCAAAGTCGCCGCAGAGGCCGCAGGTGCCATTGCGGTGACGTGGGGCCACGGTGACGGCCAGGGCGGCCCCGGGGCCGGCCGTCACCCGGAGGCCGAAGGCGGCGAGGATGAGGAGGGTGGTGGCACCTCGGGCTGAAGCGCAAGCGGCCCCGCCCTGCGGGCAGAAGGGCAGCGCCACCGGGGTGCCGTCCACCTGGGGGGGGGACAGGGAGGGGACACGGTCAGCCGCCCCACCGGGCCTCCACCATGTTCCTTCTAGCCAGAGGCTGCTTGTCCGTGTCCTCCAGCTGACCTTCTGACCTTCACTCACTCATCCAACCTCATCCATCCATCCGTCCGTCCATCCATCCATCCATCCATCCATCCATCCATCCATCCATCCATCCATCCATCCATCCACCCGCCCATCCATCCACCCACCCATCCATCCATCCATCCATCCATCCATCCATCCATCCATCCATCCATCCATCCATCCATCCATCCATCCATCCATCCATCCATCCATCCATCCATCCATCCATCCATCCATCCATCCATCCATCCATCCATCCATCCATCCATCCATCCACCCACCCATCCATCCATCCACCCACCCATCCATCCACCCACCCATCCATCCATCCATCCACGTCCTCCTCCATCCCTCTGCCCATCCTTCTCCTCCTCCATCCACCCAGCCCGGTCTTCTCCATCCCCTCTCACCTCCACGACGCCGGGGCGCCCTCCCCACAGCACCCAGCGCTGCTTCTCCACCGTGACGGTGACCTTACGGCCACCGCCGCCGTCACTCCGGGCTGGGTCGGTGACGGTGACATCGAAGGAGGGGTGGACGCCGGGGGACCCGCAGCTCTGGGCCACCACATAGGAGCAGTTGTCCCGCACAGCCACGGTCGCCCCGTCGAAGCTCAGGTAGTGCCGCGTCCCCACGGCCCGGCAGGTCCCCGGGGGGCCGGTGGCACCTGGTGCTTTCCCCTCCGGTGCCCAGCACCCATGGGTGCCCCCCGTGCCGGGGGGGGACACGCAGCCCTCCCGGCACCCATGGGTGCAGCCGGGGGCACAGACAGCGTAATGGGTGCCCGCCGGGCATTTGGGTGCTGGGGGGGAGGGGAGAGGCGGGTGTTGGTCCTGTCCCCCCCTCCCTGGGTGACGGGACCCCCTTGGGTGCTCTGGGGGTCCCTGTCCCCCCCTCCCTGGGTGCTGGAACCCCCTTGGGTGCTCTGTGGGTCCCTGTCCCTCCCTCCCCTAGTACCTGGGACCCCCTTGGGTGCTCTGTGGGTCCCTGTCCCCGCCTCCCTGGGTGCTGGGACCCCCTTGGGTGCTCTGTGGGTCCCTGTCCCCCCTCCCTGAGTGCCTTGAGCCCCCTTGGGTGCTCTGTGGGTCCCCACCCACCCACTCCCAGCACACCTGGGTCCCTGGGTGCTCTGTGGGTCCCTGTCCCCCCCATTCTCCCTCCCGGGATCCCCGGGGAGCTGGGTGGGTGACTTACGGCAGAACCCGTCCGAGCGCCATTCCAGGACCCTGGCCCCGGCCTCCTGGCAGGCGGCGGTGTAGGCAGCGAGGACGCGGCACACGCCCTCACCGTGACACCGGTCAGCGACGCAATCCCGGTAGTAGGTTTCAGGGTGAACGGTCCCGTGGCACAGCCGGAACGGGCCCTCCTTCCTCAGCACCACCCCGCACCCTCCCCCACCCTCCGGCTCCCCCTTCCCCGCCACCCCGCACCCCAAAACCTCACCGCACCCTTTGCCCTCTCCCCCCGGCGCCGCGTCGTTGCGGGGGTCCCCGTCCAAGTCCCCGCAGAGTCCGCAGAGCCGCCCCCCGTAACCGCCGGGGACCTGGACGCTCACCCGGCCATGGCGCCCATCGAAGGCCACCGTCACCCCCCGGGGGGTCCTCACCGTCACCTCCCAACCCCGGGACTCCAGGGTCACTGCCGGCGCCCCCACTGCGTGGGGCAGGTGGGTTGGCACCCCGTTCACCTGGAGAGGGAAGGCAGGGGGCAAGAAAAACAGGGGGGGGTCAAAACACAGGGGTGGAATCTGCGTTCGGCCATCCTGGACCCCGTTTCTTTGCTACTCGTGGTTTACTCACAGGCTGCTCCTAGTTTACTCACTTGCTACTCACCAGTTCGGACCAGCCCTCCAGGGCAGCCGGTGTCAGGGGCTGGACAGGCACAAGCCCTCTTACTACTTACGCTTTACTCAATACTCAGCGCTTCCAGCTTACGTGATTTCACTGCTTTCACCCCGCTTACTCACTCGCTACTCACCCTTAACTCACTACACATCCCTGGGCAACCCTATATTCCTTACATGTGCCCACCTTGCTCATCCACACACGCGTTCCTCACTCATCACTTACTACTCCTTCCTTGGGCCCTCCAGACCGGCTAAAACACTCTTTACGCCCACTACTCCCTCGCTACTCATCACTT